GCCCCGCTCCGCGCCCGCCCCGCGCGGGGACCGGGCTGGGGCCCGGCGGGATGGTGCACGGGAGGAACCGTGCGGCAGTGAGGAAGTGAATCTCACCGCCGATGAGATGCGTGAGCTACAGGTAGAGTAGGCAACAGGTGCTGTCCGTTTGTTTTTTGTGTTGCCTATTGTTCTGAGGACGCTCTGTTCCTTGAGACGGTGTGGCTGTGCTGCTGTTCACATTAGGTGCATACTATTGCATGCATGATTACAAAACCCTTTATGTAAGTACAGTTTCATGCAAATAGATGAGCAGCATGGTAACAGTCAAGCTGACGCTTTACATTTGACTTTGCATAACAGGGTAGGATAAAGGATAGCATTTCTCTGTGTACCATAGGAACTTAAAAAGGCCTTCCAGGAGGTCGGTATGAGATCTCAGGTACTTGGAAACTACAGTACTTAGCAAGTGTATTCCAGTGAAAAAGTAAACTTGGCTGAGACAGTGCATTGATTCTGATCAAACAAACAGAATCATTTAGTATGGGAAAGACCTCTGAGGTCCTTAAGTCCAACTGTTTCATCTGGATGTCTAATCTAAATCTACCCTCTTGCAGTTTCAAACCATTGCCTCTCATTCTGTCACTATATGCCCTGCTAAAAGAAGTCTTTCTCCATCTTCCTTGTAAGCGCACATCTTTCTTTCCAAAGTGCAAGACTGAAATTTATTGTCTTGAGACATCTGAGATTGAATAGCTATCCCAAGTAAAGGGAAAGAAGTAGAAATTCTCTAATGATTCTAGCAGTAAGAGTATCTGTCAAGTCAAAAGTAGAGTAAAAACCTGATTAGTATGGTGAGAAACCCTCCCAAGTTGCCAGTATTGTTTCAGCCAGTTTGATTTGTGCTAGGGAGAGTGCCCACATTGTTGCACTGTAGCATCGAGTTCCTTCTTGCTTATGCTTGTACATGTTTGAGTGCTTTTGTGATCTTTCTGTTTTGCCTTTGTCTCTGAAACTTGCATTATTTCTGCAAAGTGAGGAGGTTTCACTGGAGGACTGGTCTGTGTTGTTGCTCCGTGCAAAGCTAGATGTTAGTCTTGTGATGATGATACTGTCCTGAGGTGTGGAGTCCTGATTCTGGACTGTGGAGCTTGCTTACCTCACTAGTAACACACAGAGGAAAAGAGATGGCCTTTGGCCTGGAGTAGTAGAAAAAAAGTAATGCTCTTCAGGTTTTGGTGAGGTTTTGGCTGTTTCAAGTGTGTATTTCAAGACGGAAGGAAGATACTTTGGTTGGTTGTAATAAGTGTCAAACACTGCAGTGAAAGAGCATGGTATGTCCTGTGAAGAAGTGGTTTGGATTGAGGTAGTTCAGAAGGCAAAGGCATGGAAAAGTTTTTGCCTTTTGTGCACTTCATCAAATTTGGCAAGTTTTTTGGTTTCATTTATAATTCAAAAACTGCAAGGTTTTGCTGGAATTTTTGTTTATTGGTGGAACTTGTTATAGACTTCTTATATTTTTTCCAGCAAACAAATTCTGTTGGTGAAAAACTAAGTAATCTTAATTTTTACAATTTACTGGTTTTCATTTTGGATTTCCACAGAGAGGCATTAAAGAGTCAGCATACTCTTGGCATAATACCTTTTCTGCTTTTTCTTCTTCCAATCATAAGATTAAAGTATGTAACAACAGTTTACTTGATAAACTTACTTGAGCCTCTCCCTGAGCAATACACTCTCACAGTAATAAGCTTTTTTAGTAAGCTGAGATGCTGATGGAGTTTAGTCTCAAAGTATGAGAATACAGTGAAGTGGGGAAAGTGATTGGCAGTAGAGTTCTGGATGTTTCTTCTGCCCCAGACGTTTATTACGACCAGGAAGTGTTTGGCTTAGATACAGACTGATAAACAGTTTTCTTTTTCCTGGGTTCTTGCCACACCCTTATTTCTCTAACATCTTTACAATATTAGAATATGCTTTACTGCAGAAAATCCTTTTCTCACCCCTCAAAGAATAAGGAAATGAGCAAGTTGCCATGGGATGAGGTATATTTGTTGTGGTTTAAGAGCAAGAAGATTACCAGTAGCCAGTAGAACAAGTAAATTATCACTAGTCTAGATCAACTGTAGTGTTTTCCATAGGGTTGCTATGGTTGGCCTATGTTAAAAGGAACGTCATGTTCTTAGCAAGGCCTTGTGTAATAGCTGGCATGAGTGTCCTGTAGACACTGTATTATACTCATAACATTACCACATCATAATTACTAGATAATCAGGTGTTTCTGAAAAGGAATTTTTGTCTCCAGTTTTGATTACATGGCCTAGAATGCCTCTATAAGGATGGTGGATTATAGAGATTTTTACCTGGATTGTCTTACTGCCTTCATGCTTTCCACATTCAGTTATATCCCTGTAGTGCAAGTTTTAAACTGTTTTAATATTCATTATGTTAACTTAGCTTGTCAAGCACTGAACAGCAAAGGAGTCAGTTAATACTTGCATTATTCTTTGTGATATTGTTGTATTGCTCAAAAGGGCTTGTACTTGTTCTTTTGGTTATGGATGAAGTCGGATGCAGAAACTGTTGGTCTTGAAAGTAATGCTGTGCTGTTTTGTGTCCTGTGTAAGAGATATCCGTCATCTTTCCTGCTGTAAGTGCTGACTTAACCTTAACCCCTGCTGTGGCGTCAGGCTGGAACATTGTTCATTGGTGTTGGTCAGCAAAGAAGGCTTTTTTAAAGTAGAACTGACATTTAAAAAGTAGAACCAAAGCTACATTGCCTTTTCTTGTGGAACTCTGCCTTCTGACACTTTGTTTGTGAGGGGATGAGGATGTTTCTTTTTAGACTTCTTTCTGTGAAGTATGTTTAAAGGACATGGGAAAAGAGAAGGTAGCAGTCAAAACTACACTTCAGAGGGCGATAGTTTTGCTATCTGTTGCTGAGATTTCTTGCAGCCCTAGGCTGCTTTTGTGAAATAGTGTGGCAGAGAAGAGCAGAATGAAGAGGGGCCGGATGATCTGAGCGTCTGTAAAGCGAGTGGAGATGTTTGCAGTGCCTCTTGGAGCACGTTGTGGCCTGCTGCCGGGAGCCAGCAGCCATGTGTAGTAGGCAGGCACCGAACACATGGGACTGCACATGCCTGGCTGTCCATGCCGGGATCTGAGGCTCTGCTAAGTGGCTTAGCACATCACCAGGCACGCTTGTGCAGCCTGCTCGTACTCTGCCTGCCCGCGCTGCTGGGACGTGAGCAGGCTGCTGTGTCCTGGTCTGTATTTCCAGGGGACATGGGCAGGCTGCTGTGCCTCTGCTCTGTATTTCCAGGGGACATGGGCAGGCTGCTGTGCCCCTGCTCTGTATTTCCAGGGGACATGGGCAGGCTGCTGTGCCCCTGCTCTGTATTTCCAGGGGACATGGGCAGGCTGCTGTGCCCCTGCTCTGTGTTTCCAGGGGACATGGGCAGGCTGCTGTGTCCTGGTCTGTATTTCCAGGGGACATGGGCAGGCTGCTGTGTCCTGGTCTGTATTTCCAGGGGACATGGGCAGGCTGCTGTGTCCTGCTCTGTATTTCCAGGGGACATGGGCAGGCTGCTGTTCCTCTGCTCTGTATTTCTAAGGTTACCTTCAGGTGTCAGTGGGGTCTTTGTCTGGATGCCTGCACCAGTATAGAATCCTCTTACAAGGCCCTCTGTCCCTCTTGAGTTACCAGGGGACAGCAGCAATATACTGAGTCTCACGTGAGTTGCCCAGGCAGTGGTTCTAAAGGGCACATTTTTCCTGCTTATCCAAAGATGAAAGGGAAGTTATGAGAATTTCTGTGTGTGGAAGCTTTTGTAAAGTCAAGAAGTTTTTGTACACATGTTCTCAGCTACTGGTGATCTGCTGCTGAAGTAGTGTGTGTGGTAGTCCTAGAGGAGCCTCATGAGTTCTGACTTTTTTTTTTGGGAGTCTGATTTAGACAACTTCAGTTGTAGAATGCAATCAGAAGTGAGGTTAAATTTACCTTCCTTAACACATATAACCATGGAGTATGGTTTTCAGTTTTCCTTAATTTTCTCCGAATAGGAAGGAAAATGTTATTGAGGATGCTGAAGTGGTTGTGATTCAACACGCTGTTTACACGAGCAAACTGAAATACACAGAAAGCATTTCTTGGGGCAGGAGGATGAGGAGATTCTGCAGGTGGTGTGAGCAGACTGCAGAAGTTCAGTACAAGCAATTGCAGTGTTGATCCTGACAGGATTTGATGCTGGGAAAGAAACCTCATCTGTATGCCAAAATGTCTGGGAAAGACTTTAGTTTTGCCTCCACCTGTTTTTGAGCATACCATGGTAATTCTTAACATTTGATTTTTCTTATAGGTAGAATAGCTAGAGATGGGCAGAGATTTCCTGGTATAGATGGCTTTTTTTTAAAGTAGAACTGACTTTTAAAAAGTAGAACCAAAGCTACATTGCCTTTCTAACATCCTGTCCTGAAGCAGAGGCAATTCACTGTTAAATAACACCTGCAATTTATTGTAATTGAAGCTTAGGGAGACAAGATGAAGTGGTGAGGATGTCTAGTACTTGTGGTTTTTTTCTTGGTTTCACTTCCTATCCTCCTTATTCCTTGCAGCTTTTGTATCTTAGTACAGTTTTTGTGCTTGACCTTATTACATGTACTTTTATGTTTCTGCTTAGTTTCTTTAATTGTACAAAGATGTTCAGTGAATAAAGCAGTTATTGATTTCAATTATATCTCTGTCATGGTTCTCCTGTGACTTGAGCTCTTATTTCAGCATTAATACATCCAACTCCTAGGACAAGTACATGGTGTTTGTTAGGTTGCTGCGGTTTTTGGAGTGGATTATTGATGGGATGGGGACAAGAATTTATTTGGCACAGTGCCTTCCAGAAGGGGACTTTAATTCTGACTGAAATTTTGGACAGGGTGTGAACCACAGCAGTGTGTGAAGAGAAGCATTAGCCTGGAATACAGTAAATGTGGTGAAAGAATGTCCTTTTTCTGGAAAGAGAGAATACATAGTAGATACGCCAATACACTGCTTAATGGAGATGACAACAAATACTAAAGCTGATGTATGGTATTGAGATAGTTTTAGATCTAGCTTCACCTATAATAAAGGTGAAATATATGCCTGCATGGTGGGACATGACAATTTTTCCCTCCTTTCTGTGACAACACTTGGCAACCTCAAATGTATAATTTTGTCATTTTTTTCAAAAGGGGCAAGAGCTGACATGGAAATATTAAGAGTTATGACTTGATGTTGTGCTTAATTGTCTCTCCAGTTTGACTCAGGAAGACAGTAGCATTTTCTGGTTACAAAGAAAATAAAGTGTTTTTTTAAATTCACACTGCATACAAGTAATTTTGCATACCTTTAAGAAGGCACCTTTTTTAAGACTGGAAGCTGGAAAGAAGGATGTCTAGAAATTGGCATGGGGCATGTGAAGGAGATGTTTAGTGTCTTTACAAGATGTCTCGGCACAGGCTGGGTTTTTTTTAATAGCAAATCCCCAACCTGTTGGCAATTAAACTTGGCTCTGGGTCAAGTCTCTTATTCAAGGTGAAAGAATAAATTTGAAAGACAGTTTCTGTTTGCTGTTGGGAATGATCAGATCCACTATGGAGTCTTCAGCACAGGTGGTGGGTTTAACAGTGCAAGGAATACTTACCTGAAAGGGTAAAATAAACTTTATTTCTGGTCTGGCAGAAATGAGAATTGGGGGGGGGGGGGTGGTTCTTAGGTTTATAAAGGGAACAGAATTCAGTGGGTAGTTATTCTGTGCATTGCTCAAGGAACCAATTTAGAAGTTAGGTTACAATAATAAATATTATCAGTAAAATTTCTTGCATTTCCTCTCATCTTGTATTTATAGTCTTTATAATTGTACTTCACCTGTGGAAGAGATATTTTGCATGGTTGGACTTGTATTGCATTATGAAATGTACTTGATTTATCTTTTATAATAAATTTTTATCTTCATTATAAAACTTGATATTCTCTTTTTTTTTAAAATAGGAATATATTGATGACGCTTTGAGATTTTGAAAGATCATGATTAGTACATTCATTGAGGTGAGTGTTTCATGCTGTACTCAAGAAAGTGATTTGTGATATCAGTTCTTTCTTAATGACTCTGAACTTGGGAAGGTGGGAGGTGTCTCTGATTCTGTTATTGCTCTTCTGTGTATTTCCTTTGAAATGTTGTGTCAGAGTGCCCAAAACCAGAGATCTTCAGGGCTTTACATTTCTAAAGGCCTGTTGCACAAATCATGAAGTACATGGAGATGCTGTGGCTTCTCTAAATCTTTATGAAACTGGAATTTAGTGTAGTGTCAGTATTAAGATATCATCTGTGTTGTTTGCTGTGCAGATGTTTATTAATAGCTTCCATTTTTTTGATTGCTCATGCAGGTGTTAAGGAACTTCCAATTATGAGGAAAATTTTGAGGTCCAGAAAACCAAGTACCTACTGTTACTTAGATAATCAGGATGACAGCTCAGGAAGAAAAGGGGAAATATTGTGCTCCTAAACTTGAATTTAAAAAGGTAGATTATAACTTCCAACAGTGTTTTTTGGTCAGTTGTGCTCTCCTTTGAAAATGAAGAAAAGTTCATTGGTATTAGAGCAAAAAAAGGAGATATAATTAAAGGAGTACAGTGGAGGAATGTAATCTTTGATGCAAAGAAAATTTATAATGTGCTTTCAATAAATGTGGTCTGATGATGCCACAGTATTGGCCCTAGAGAGGAAAGACAGCTGATCTGGGTAGTAATACTGCAATACAGATGGAATTGTAACTGAGATTTTGAGAATTCACACTACAATGTCTGTTTAGTCTAAATGACTGAGAAAAAAAACCCAAACCAACCTGTTTTTCTATGGCTGGAAAATGTGATCTGAATAGGTTCTAAAATCTGACTCTTTTCAATGCTGCAGGTGTGACTCCAGTTCTCTGCAGAAAGTGAACCTGGTTCAGCTTGGTTTGCCTCCTGTATCACAGGTGTGTTCCTACAGCAGTTTTCACTCTTTTATACTGTGTAAAGTCTTTTGTGCTTAGAAGAGATGTATATATCAGTATGGAAGTAAATGAGGAAATATCATAGGTTCTGTATTCTTCATAAACTGAAAAAATTAGACTTCCTTCTGTGGAAAATACTTTATTGGAGATGCTGTCTGTAGTTGAACTCTTCTAGTGTTTTGGGACTTGGGCATACTCAATCACCTGTACATTTCCTCTGAAAAATAGAGAGCAAGTAGAATTGGCTGCCTCTAATTCTGCTCTGACTGTTTAAATATAAGTTACTCAAACTGGGCATTTTGTTTCAGATAAAAAACCTTGTGACGTAGATTTGTCTTACTTTCTGTTAAATTGTAGAAAGCAATTTTTAGAAGGAGAATTTTTAGTAGTTTTCAAGGATTATTATTTCTTATTGTTTTAATGTCTTCTTAAATGTGTTATTAATTACATGAAACCAATATGATACACAATTAAAATGGTACATGCTATTAGTGTGACTATATCTTCAAATTTAGACTTTTGAAAACCTTTTTTACTTTTTTTAATTGAATATTTTACAGGGAGTTGAGTTAGTGTAAAGGAATTGCAAGAGCTGTCGTTAAACAAGGATTTAGCTGGTGCTGAAAGACATTGCACATTTTCAATGCTCAGGATAAAAACTGAAATCTGCAAGTAGCTCTGGCTACAGCAATTTCTAACACTTCTTGTGGTCAGAAATAAAGCCTATAATTTAAATTATGTATTATCAGTTTATGATAAAAACCAAATCAAAACATCTAAAGAACCAGTTCATACAGATTTATACCATGATATGAGTATTTTAGAACTTGTATTGGCTTCATGATGTCACACAGGACGGAATGTTGTGAATAAATTCTTCCTTTAGTCTGGCCAACACAAATGTACTTTTAACAGTTGGTAGACGTGCAGCATGTTAAATTAAGGCATGTTAGCATGGGCTGTCTTCCAGAGTGGTTAGCCTGGGATTTGAACACTGTTCAAACATTTCTTCTGCACATTCAGATGAAGCACTTAGAATGATGTAATTGTCTGTCACACAAATGTTGGTCTTCTGAACTTCATATTCTACCATTTCTTTGTGCCACGGGGCAGTGGCATGCACCAACAGAATTAGTTTCATAGATTTGCTAGAAGAACTTTCAGTTTCTTTGTTTTTCATCAAAATTCCCAGTGTTTCTCTTGAGAAACTTTTTATTAGATAGAATAATAGTGTTGATGGACTTCATTAGTAGCAACCTCTGACAATAAACAAACACTTTTTTGCTGTGATAGTGAGTGAGCACTGGCACAGATTGCCCAGAGAGACTATGGAATATCCATTTTTGGGAATACCCAAAATTCATCTGTTGGTGATCCTGAGCCTGCTCTTGGGTAACTCTGCCTGAGCAGGGAGTTGGACATGGTACCTCCAGAAATCTCTTTTGATCTTAATCATTATGGAAATTGAAATTTTGTAACTGCCTGGTAAAATCATTAATGCTTTTACCAATCCTGTTGTGATAGAGGGTCATAAAATGATATTGCAACCAAACCTGATGAGCACTTGGAGCTCTGCTGACCACGTCAGGCATTTGGCTCTGTGCCCTGCTGGGCAGGGCAGCCCTGTGTTCCAGTGGCTGTGTCAGCCCATGCAGGCTGTACATAGTGTGATACCACTCTGATTGTGAATCCTAAGGGTTATTTTATCTAGAGCAGAACATGCTATTACTTTAAAACTCTTAAAGATGTTATTTCAGAGCAAAAGTGTTAAAAATGCATATTTGTGTCTTCCTCTGCTGTATGACAGTTTCATGCTTAACCAACATTTATCTGCATAGGAGTGACATAGCTGTGAGCATCTCTCTGGTATCTGTTTGAAGAGGACACTGTTGGGGGGCCCAGGTATTTCTTTTATATTTTATAGTTATAGAGGTGTCCGGACTCTGTAATGGTCAAAGATTTCCAGTAGAAGAGGATGAGACAAGAATTAAATGCATGTGGGAGACTCTGGACCTAGGCACCTCATGCTTTCGATGCTAGCTGGGAGGGAGCTTGATAAACACTTTTGCCACCTTTTCATAGAAAAAACAGGTAAGAAACACACATAATTATTATGATTCATGCTAGTAGAAAGATGCTTCCCCTCCTGCTCCTCTAGAGTTTATGCAGAAAGTATATTGTTCTGTGTTTGTGTTATATTTAAACTGGGGTTTTAGTCACACACATATATATATATATATGTACTCATTCAGAACAATATTTTGGGTATAAACTGGGAGTTACCTTATTTGAAGCCAAAACATTTTTTAGCCTAAACCCATACTTTTAAATTCAGTTTGAGTTTCTTCAGTGAGGAAGCAATCTGATTGGAAGCAGTCTCACTGTGGATGCCAGGGCCCTGATCTGATCCTGATTTCCTGGATAGGTGCTGCTGTAAATTCAGGGTGGCACTCAGATGGTTCTGGAACAAGGCTGTGTCCTGATCAGTTCCCCTTGTAAAGTGGCAGCTGAAGGCAGTGGTTAATGAAGATGACCCTTATAACACTATTAGTAATTCTTACTTGAATAAGAGTCTTGTGTCCGGGATTTTCTTGAGCTGAGAGGTGAATCCTTATCAAAGAGTTGTGAAATAAATACTGTGAAATTGGGATTTTATGGGAGTATTTATGGTATACTAGATTTTGATAATTTTGTAGACATTGACACCTCATTGCTTGTTTAGGAAAAGAGCAAAACTTGTTCATGATTATTTGGAGTGAGTAAGTAATCTAGTAAAAAAGTTCCCTTTCTTTTTTTAAGTAAAAAGATCTCACAAGAAATTATTGAGCATCATTGTTATTGTTTCCTATAATCTGAGAATATTGCCATGTCTCTTTTTCCCCCTTCCTAGAAAAGTCCTAGTGAAGGTATTCTGTTAATTGTTCTTGCCAGGAAAACGTGAAGCTCTCAGTGTTGGTGAAACTGTGCAGTTGAACAAGTCACTTCTTTTATTACTGCTTGTTTTCCAACATTTTCTCCTAACGTTTTTCAACTCCCAAGCATTTAATTATTGTATAATTGCACAGAGAGAATGCATTCATTGTAGATGTTAATTTTCAATCATATCTAGAATTGCGTGATATGACTAAACCCTTGCTACTTATTTGTCATCTAAATAAGAAAACTTTTATAATTTTGCAAAGCAAAAATCCAGAAGACATTTGGAAGTCCTTCTTGTTGACAAGATCTTCAGTAAAATTTAATCCTGGCCGTTAGGAATGTCTCCCATGGGTTCTAGTACATTTAAAAGTACCTAAATATTTACATGTCTATAAGCATAAAATGCAGTGTGGCTCTTACTATGTTGGGAATATTGGTAAGTTGATAGTAGTTGCAAATTTTTGCTCAAATCATGAAATGTTTGCCTCTTACACAGTTCTAGATCATTTTGACTCTGGATTGTTAGTTTCTCATCCTTTATATGCCAGTAGTAAATATTATAGTTTATGTGTGAAAAGAAATCTGGAAAAATCTGTTCTCTGAATATAACCAGATCTCTGCTGAAATAAGATTTTTGGGTTTAAACTTACAATTTCAGAAGAAATTTGCCTTCTTGGTGTTCTGCAACCCTTCTTAAGAGTGTTTTTTCAAAAACAAGCTCAGTTACTTCTTTCAGAATTTGTCCATACATATTTTGGTCTGGCTTTTTTTGGTGATGTTAGAGTTCAGGCTGTTTCCTTTGTCTTACTGCAGGATAAAGGAGCAACTGTAGGTAATGAATAACCAGAAGACATTTCCTGCCTATCTAACCTGGCAAATCAATGCCCATGTTTGTCCTCAGTGCTCAGTGGAATGGCTTTTTGTGAGCCAGTTACCTTAAAATCAAGTTTAACTGGTGCCAATTTAATAGTAAAAAAGTTTTTATTTATAGAGCCAAAATAGACAACATCCCTTAAAAGTTTAGAGGATGGAGCAAGAAATAAAGAAAAACCTGGCTTCTTTCAAGATCAAACCTAAAAGAGCTCTTTGTGTTTCCATGTTCAGATTCTTACTGAACTTAGTATGGGATGTAATTACCTTCCTCAAACTGGTAACAGGAGAGAACCTCAGTCTGGGGAAACATGCAAGCTTTTGCCTTCCAGTGTTGTTTGGTTAGTGATTGGGAATTTATTCAAGTGTATGAGTGGGATGAATATGTGCAATTTATTATGTCATTTTCCCTGAGCTGAGTTTCAAAGATAATTAATCTCTTTGTGCTGTCTGACCGTCTGTGCTCCTGAAGTGTTTGCACAGCGCTGGTGTCTGCATGCAGATGTTCCACTTAAAGGTCTTTCTCTGCTGAGAGTGAAGTCTAGCCAGCTGCATCACTTCTTATCTAAATTGCAGAGCATGGAGGAGGGTTATTGCCAGCCTGAGCTTTTTTCAGTTACTCCAGTCTCTTCTAAGAAAATGTCTCCAAAGTTAGGGCATGAATGAACATCACATTATAAATGAACAAAGCACCAAGATTCCCCCAAAGTAGTAAGGTCTTGTTTTAGAAATGCTTCTCTTTCTTCAGAAAAGGAAAAATTCTTGCAAGTTTATAATAACATTTTTCTTGTTCCTTCCTCTTTACTCTTCCTGTATTCCTTACTCTGGTATGTGCCTCTGGCACTGAGACTTTTGAGATTTTGAAACGGAAGAAATTTTGTGCAAGACGGACTTTGTGACGTTAATCTTCCAGTCTTGCCTAAGAAAACCATTCCAGCTCAGGCTGAGCCAGTTCTGTTTGAAACATACATCTTTAAAGATGACAAACTTGTGTTTTCTCTATTAGTCAAATATTTTTTTTAATTTTTTTTTCCTCTGGTATGAGTGTCCTTGGGGTCTGAATCGTAGCCACTATAATGTAGTTATTAGGCGTGGACAAAGCTGCAGAAGTTCTGGCATGTTGTTAGTTACAACCAGAAGAAACAGGACTGAATTGCTTCTTGACACAAATTTCTGCCAGGTTTCAAGAGGAATAAAATTTACATGGTATCTCCTAAGGGTCAGTGTCTATTTCTTTTCTGTTGGTGACTCTCTTAATTTGTACTCATTGCTTAAAATAAAAATGTTTTTTAAAACCCTGAAAGCTTGACTGTCATTGAATCAATCAACTCTTGTTCAGGAATTATGGGAAATTCCTGAAAAGTTGTTGGATAGCATACAGATTTATTTGTTTATTTACTTAGGGAACAGTTCTCTCCCACCTAAGGAAACACTGCTGAAGTTTCCTACAGATACCTGGTAGAAGCTAGTCTGGGTCAGGGAAAGAAGGGAGGAGAAGAGACAATAGAGGATATTTGGAGGTGGAAAAAAATTACTCACCAGTGGTTTAACAGCTCAGAATTTCAAACCTTAAGACTCTGGGGTTTTTTTTGGTTTGTTTTTTTTTTGTTGTTATTTGTTTGTTTTGTTTTTTGGTGCATTTTTATTGCCTCTTAAACTTCTAAAGATTACAAAAAAGACTTTGGGGAAAATAATTTTCCAGGGGAAGGTTGTGTAAAAAAAAATACTTGTGAAGAATTCTCATGGCTGGAAATACTACAGCACATGTAATCATCTCTGGCCTCAGAATTCAGCAGAAGAGGTTTCTCATGCCTAAAGACTAATACACAAGGTATTTACATCAGAGTAGGAAAGCTGTGGCACTATCACTGCTCTTCCTATAAATGGCACAGTTTTACTGATACTACATTACTGTGACATTGGGCTAATTGAGAGCCTGTCTTTGGTAGTTCATGCTCATAAACCTATCAGTAGTCATTTACATAGTTTTCTTTATAGGAGTAAATAGAGCAGCCCAAAAATTTTATTTTTTTAGTTTTTTAATTTGTGAGACCTCTTTTCCCCATCTCTAAAGAAAAATATAATTTCCTAACAGATAGTGGTGTTTTGATTATGGCAGTATTTTTTTCTCATTTATCTAAAGCTCTTTCTAAGTAGCATTTTGTCAGGAAAACAGGAAGGAACTCCAAGCTTACAGAATATAGGATGAGAAATTTCACATCTTGCCTTACATTTGTATACCCCAGACCTCCTTTAAAGGTGATGCTGCAAGTGCCTTTTTTCTTAAAACTTCATTTGAATCGTGATGGGGTTAATTACCTTTATTTATGGAACTCTCACAGAGCTTTACAACCTTGGTGTTCTCTGAGAAATAATAGAATAGATGTCACTTGGGAGATGGCTTTTGAGGGTGGCTGCAGTTATTTAAGCAGAATGCTTTGATTTACACAGCAGTGGGAAGAACATCCCCTGGGTCCAAATGGATCAGCACATTCCCAGGTACCAAACCTGTGTGGTACAGGGATGTTTGTCCGTGCAGGTGCTCCCTGTGCCACCTTCTGTCCTCCCTGGCTCTGTGCTGTGGTTTTGGTCCCTGGCACAGCCAGGCAGGTGTGGCTGAGCTCAGGCTGTGCCCTGCAGCCCCGGGCACTGAGCTTCACTCCAGGCATCCTGAGGAGGGCAAGTCCTGTCACAGAGATTAAATCAGAGATGAACTATCTGACCTAGTTAATCATTGGCCACCAGAATGTGCCATTGTGACATAATCCTACAGTTTCAGCTCAGAGTAAATACTCTTTTATTGCGTGCTCCGGTTATGTAATTTCCAAGACAGAAGTGGTTAACCTTAGTCCAGAAAATAACTGTCAGAGCTCCTGAAGGGTAATTCAGTGCTGGGATAGTAGAGTTCAATACAGCAGCATATCAGCAGGTCTGTTTTATCTGCATTAAAGTACCTGCAGAGGAAAAAAAGTATATTTTACTCTATTGAAAGGCATTTTTCTATTATCACCTATAATAATTTCTTTATTTCCTTGTAAGGAAAGAAAAAAATTCTATTTTTATACCACTGCTGATAGCTTAAGTGAATGTCCTTAAACTATACTTTTAAATGAAAGCAGATATCTTGCATATTATTTTGATCAAGTGAAGAGACAGATAGTGCTTTCTGGAAAATGCAAAATAAACGTAAAATGTCTGGAAAAACATCATTTAGGAGTGTAAGAAAATAGCTTCCATGTGGTGTTGCTTTGGGGGGAGTTGAATCATGGTGTGTTTTAAATTACTATTGTGTATGTTTTCCATTACAATCTTTCTAAAAAACATAAATATTTATTTATTTGTGTTTAAGACAAAACTGCTGTAGTTAATATTAACTAAACTTGGTTGTGAATTTTTTTATTGACTTATTCCAGTCAGAGGTTTATTAGTTAATAATTGTAATTTTGAATATTTTAAAGGGCCAAAGAGGAAGGAACACACATTGTTCTGTTGTCTTGAAAACAACAGAGATTCTTAACAGAGAATCTTAGTTCATAGTTTTACACTATTGTCTGAGTTGCTGAAATGGATGAGGTTGTGAGTCAGATTAAATGTGATTTTTTTATAAATAAAGTTGAACTGCTCTCCAGTACTCATTTGGTGGTACCTCAGTACTGATCTGTCCTTGATTTACCTCTGTATACACTGATTTTTGAGCCTGATAACATTAGAATTTGGTTTAAAAGCAGGGATATGTTTGTTTTGTTTTTTTTAGCCTTACTTTTCCAAGCAATTTTTATCATATCCCCCCAAAATTAGTGGTAATCAGTAGATAAAATGATTCTCAGGGTTATTCATGGCTTAGAATTTTTGGTGGCACTGATGAGGTGTGTTTGTGTGTTTAGTTTCCCTGTTCCTGCTGTATGTTCTGTCTGCCTACCTCTATGGCTTTTGTACAAAGAAAGAAATGAAGAGAACAGTAGTGTTCCCTCCCAGCTGATCTTAAAAACACCAAACCCCTAATATAAAACAGAACACCAGCCCAAATTACCTCTAAGTCAAATGAGCAATGCTCTGATGTCTGAATAGAGATTTTTTTCTTTATCAAGGTAAACTGCAAGGCAGTGGAATGCTTTCACTGAAAATCGTAGCAGCTGTCATCCAAATCTAGGCAGCCATACTGACAAGGATCAAGCAGGAAAGTAGAAAACTAGGGAATATGTGAACTTTTCAGGAGTTTTTCCATGTTTATTCAACTTTATTTCTTATGTGTGGGTTTTTACTAAAAAATAAATACTTTTTTTATGATAAACCATTGTGAGATTTTCAGTTTAAATGAAACACTTCTCCATTCAAATGCTGAATATATTAACCATGAATGTCATTTTTTACTTTCTACAATCAGTGCAAATTCCAGTTCGTCAGCAAGGCAAACAAGAAAATAATTTTTTTTCTTCCTTCCCTTCCTCCTCAGACTTCTGCATCTGTACTTCCAAACAGAATTTGTAAAGAGGGAAAATTCTGAATATGGCTTGATTTGCTCTTGGTCTTGGCAGTGTTTCTGATGAGTGTCCCACGGACTCTGTCAGGTTCTGGGGGTTCTCCTCTAGCACTGAGGAGCAGAACCCTGAGCAGCAGCCTTGGATCAGTAGAAGCATTTCTCCATCATTCTCTTTAAAAGAGCAGCTCAAGATGAGTGATTATTCTGGACTTCCAAGTGACCACAGCCAGATGATTGCTGAAGATTCAGAAATTCAAGCAAAGCCTGAACACTCTCATGAAGTTCTTCAGGAAGATATTGAAATGAGCAGTGGCTCCAGTGGAAATGATTCCAGTGGAAATGACTCCAGTGGGAATGACACAAATGAAAACTATTCAAGTGGGCATGATTCTCATGGTCATGAATCTGATGAAAATGGGAAGGATTCAGCAATGCTTATGGAATCTTCAGACTGTCATAAAAGGTAGTAGCTATTATTAAATACGTTTCACTTTTATTTTTGCCCCTAAAAACCTTTTTTCATTTGAATCAATATTTCTGAATAATAACTAAGGCATAAAGCCTCTTCAGCATGGAGCTGAGTATGCTACATAAGTTCTACTCTCATGTGATGTAAAATGTAATTTAACATAATTCATAAAGAAAAGGTCTCTGGTGTTTTCATCATTTGCATCTTCCAACTTCTGTAAACTTCTGTAAACTTCCAAAAACCTGTCAATTGACTCTTATGTGTGAGGATGCAACCAAGCTATTTTAATCTTTTCAATAATAGTTTACAGAGAAAAGCTATATTAAGAACCACCTCCCTAGTAGTCCTGGGAGGACCAGGGTGTTTGGACTCAGTGATCCTTATGGGTCCTTTCCAACTCAAGCTGTTCTTTGCTGCTTAGATAAATGTATACAGCTTAATGCTCATTTGTTGTACCACACAGAAGCTTTTAAAATTTAGGATGGGGTTTTTGTGGGTTGTTTGTTTTTTTTTAAGGGAGACAGTCATTAATTGAAAATAAAAAGCTACAATGAGCTAAAAGTTGTTTGTTAAGTTTTCAACTATTAATCTTTTTCTCTTTTCCTTATTCTAGTTCAAGTTCAAATGCATTTAGTCTGATGATTGCAAACTCTGAACACAATCAGTCTAGCAGTGGATGCAGGTAAATTAGTGGGCATATTATTCATTAATTTAGATGTATGCTAAATGCTGAAAACTAAATAATGTTGAATTTTGTTTCTTTTGTTTTGTTTTGCCTCAACCTGGATGACTACACAAGAAATCCTGTCTTTGATTTCTTCCTGTCCATAATCAGTATGTCATGTAGCATGTCATGTTAACCACTTGATTAAATTAGAGCTTTTGGTTGCTGTTCTATGCAAGTTGTGTGATAAAGTCCTGTTACTTTGTTTTGATTTGATAGATTAATTCTGTAATTATTTTTTTTGTGGGTCCCATTGAATACTGCTTCAGTTACAATGGGGTTTTGTAGCTTTTAAATTTTTTTTGCTCTTCAGAATTTAGAATCTGAGCCTGGTGATGTGTTAACATCAGAATTCACCACTGAGCTATTGAATTCACCATTGGGTTATTCCTGGTGTCCAGCAGCTGGGTCACCTGCCTCTCCTGTGTTCCATTTGCTGGGATTACACCCCCAGGGTGTAAGGATAAAGGATACACGGACACCAGCTGCAGGGATGAATCTCTGTATGAACTCTGCTTCTGTCCCTGACAGCCTTGAAGAGCCTAGCTTGAAGGCTCATATTTAGACACTTCAGAGTGCCCTGCTGCACTTGTGTTTTTAAATCAGCTTTTTTTGACTCAACTTTTAATTCAGATCAGGAGATCAAAGCCTGGTCCTGAGCAGATCAGTGATATCTAGCTAGAGCATGCTGACGTTAAGACCCACATCTAAGACCTGCCTACCTAAATGTGTTTCTACCTGATGCAGTTCCTAGAAAAGTGGCAAATTCAAATTATTCCTATGCACCATTTGGTGCTTACTCAACATATTTTCTGTGTCTGCCTTGCAGGCACCTGGAGATTTGTTCCATGCTGTATTTTCAACTGGAAATTGTGATCTAGAGTTTGTGTTGCTTAATGTGAAAAAGTGCACCAAAGGCATTTATTATCTTTGTTTCCCACTGATTCTGTTTCCTTCACTGTGAGATCTTGGAGGGGGTTACTTGCTGTAGTTTTTTTGGTGTTTAAATTTTAAATTTTATTAATAGCTCTCTGCTTAGAAATAATTAGGAGTCCAGAGTGTTCTCCCTAGCCATCGGGCACAGTGCTAGAGGGCACAGAGCAGAACCTGATGATCATTTGGGAATGGGAGAATGAAGAAATCTAGAGAATGGTCTTTAAAGAGAAGACTAAAGTAGTCTGATAAACTAGTTATCTTTGTAGGCTTCATCTTTGATTCAGACTACTGGCATTTGCATTCAGTATCAGTGCCAACCAACAACTCTTGTTTAGTATCTGTAGGTACCTTCCCAGTTTGCTGTCCACAAAAAACAAAATGAAAACCTCGTATCTTTATAGAGCTTGTTTATTCTGTCCTCTGCAAGTGCCACCTTCCCTGTGGCTGCCTGCTGAGCTACTGCTCTCTGGAAAAAAACATTTTGGAGCTGTGTAATTTATTTTCAAGAATGTCCATCTCCTGTATTTGCTGCTGCCGTAGGCTAATTTGGAAAGGTTTTTTTTCTTGCAGAAGTCTGAGCAATGAGACTCTTGCATGAGTCTTCTCTCATGAAGCAGTCTGTATTCTGAGAGTACAAATCAGCAGCATGCTCAATTATTTCATAATCTTTCCTCTCTCTCTTTTTCCCTACTGCCAGCGTGGAGGGTTCTTCTATGAACCTCTGTTAACAAAGCCCTGTTTGATTGCAGCAGTCCAAACTGTCAAGCCACGTTGTACACGTGATTTTAATACACAGCATGAACATAGTGTTTCCCAAGGGAGTACTATAGCCTTTTGTTTGATCCCTTGCCATTATTTCTTGGTACAAAATGACCAGTGAGTAAATGAATGCTGCGTTTCTCACAGTGCATTGTGA